TTCGAGAGATGGTATCTGCCAGGGAGTTCAACATGACAGGGGTGTTAGTTACTTGAGCTCACGCCCAAGGGTATCATCCAAGTTTTCGAAACAACTTGTCAAGTTAATAAACGAGTAAATGAACATAAAAGTGGAGTTTGAGGGTTCATAAAAATACCTAATTTCATGAAAATTTCCGCACTTTTAATAGAATAATTCTTCAAATTTTTCGTTTTGTTTTTTTTATAATTGAAAAATTACAGTTGTGGAATTTTTAATGTACTGAGTTTCTTGAGGTGTAAAAATTTTAGGAAATATTCTTATTTGGAAGAAATTCAATAGATTTTCATCTCCACATAAAATAATCTGGCATTGTAACTCATCAACAATATTCTTCACCCCGTCAACACCTCTCCCAAATAGATGGCAGTTAGTGTTTCAATGATAATCCCGTTTTGTAGTAGCTATGAAACCCATCGGTGGGTTCCATCATCATGTAACGCATAATCGATTCGTCCACGTCAACAGTTTATATCCCACGGGCTTACACAGAATGATGGCTGTTGAGAACAAACTCCCGTAACAACTGGTGCTAGAGAGTTTCATCAGAGGTATTCCAGTTGGTACGTGGCAGAGAGCTAGTTTCGTGGAAATTGTTCAGTGGTATACGTGGTAACATCTTTCATTTGATGAAACATTTCTCACGAATTCCCGTAATTCTGTAAAATATCATGGGCCTTAAAACCCCTCATATCGTCGACTGAAAATATTCTAAAATTATTATCGGAAAGTAAAGGGCGACAATAAAAATAATCCGCTTGTATATATCATTATTCGTGCGTCACTTCCCATGGAGAATAGAAAAATCCCAATTAGGGGGTAAAAATGGAATTCCTCACAATTCGTCTTCCAAATAATTCTTTTGTTCCATTTAGGCGAGACTTAACGAGGTAAGTGCTGGAAGAATGGGCCATTGCGACTTCCGTTTACCTAGGGAAGCGTGAGAGAGCCCCTCTAATTAAATCAAGTGCAACATTGTAGTTGAAAACAAAAAAAATAAACGAGAATAGACAGGGGTGTAAACGCTCCCAGTGCTTTCTCACTCGAAACCTCATATTCCCGGTCTTAATCATCTCTTCGCCTTAATTGAATCGTTCAGTGTCTCCCCACTACTTGGGGTCTGAAGGTAATTCGAATCGAACCAATCACGTCAGATTAAATCCTACGGAGAGTCTTGCGGGATGAAGGGAGCGATGGAAGAGTGACTTCACATTGACTTCGTTAAAAGAAGATTCAAATATACGAGTTCTGCGCGGTGAAAAAGTGCAATTACCCGGGGAATAATGAATTTCTGTGGATTCAGGAGCGATTCCGTTGTCATATCAATGCCTCTGACATTTCAATTCCTGAGGTAATTCTGAATATCACGGATCATTCAATGACGATACTTGTGCAGTTATTTATGGGTCCAGCTAATGTCGATTGAATGACCAAACGTTGGACAGGTTTGGGTATTTGAGTGGTCCCAGAGTGGTCAGAATTAACGGCAGATCGGATACAGGTGAATGGCGCTGTAATGGAACCGTATCATCAGCGCATTTGAACAGTGAACTAGGGAATTGGCCCTTCGGCCCATCGACCTCATTTCTCCAGCCAACAGAGTAATTAGTCGATCGCTGTCGATAATTTCCCCAGTGTTTGACCCACAAAAAATGAGATATTGAATTTCATATCGGACGTGTCATGTATTTCCATTCCGGTTTTCATCGGACGAATGTTAAATCGAATTGGACTTTTTTTTGACGCAATTTTCAAATCGTGTGGAGCCTGGGGAAAATTAAACCACGTAAATTGAAGTGACATTTATCAACGCGTTCCGTCCACTTCATTCATTCAATAATTCCGATATTCAAATTTTCATCGTGTGGTCATTGGATATTCTAGCACCGGAAATGGGGCTACTATGAATTCCTGCGCGAACTGTCGTTTGAATATAAATTTTTAACTCGTGATATTTCCTATTTCAGATTGAATGGTCTGTGAGTGATCTCCATTAACTTGCGTGGAATAATTAAACTGACTTTTAGAGTTTCCATAAATTTTGTCATTAAACTGTGTCCATCGGTGAGGAAATTTCTTGAAATTTCAGTGAAATTATAATTTGATAGAAGTTTCCAACAAGTCGAGCTGTTTAAAAATTTCAGTACATGTCAGGAAATATTAAAACATGAAATTTCCATCAGAAAATCATGAAATTTAGTCATTGAAATCTCCCATTTAGTGGTGAACATGAGTGAGAATTGTAAATTTCAATGAATTAATTCCTCATCTCCACAATTCAACATTGAAATTTCAATTAACGTATCTCATGAGGAATAAACCGCAGTTACGTGGGAGTAGTTCGAGCCACATCATTGTCGCAGTCAGAGAACAGCATACCCATATACATTCGGTGTTGCTTCTCCTTTGCCTCGATTGTGTACATGCAGTAGCTACTCATGCAACAGACCAAAGGGGACACTGGGTGAAAAGGTGGTGCATGGGGGAGGAGGGGAGAGTCAAAGAGGTGAACCTCGTCGGTAACTGAGATAACGGCTAACCATAGACACGAACGAGGCCCAGGCCTGGACCTACAGCTTGCTCAGCGATAACACTATCGAGCCCCCCCCCGTCCCCCTCTTGGCCTCTTCTCATCTTCACTACAGATTCTCTCCTTCTAGCATCGCTTGGACCCCCTCTCCCAACGGGCGTTATCGTTCTCCCCGTAATTCGAGACTCCAGAATAGACGACCTCTCCGACACGCTCCTCAAGAGCCCGGGTTAAAAGATCGTATTTTTTTTACACGTTTTTTTCTGGCTTCTTTTTTTCAGTTGAAAGGGAAATGCTTTTATCAGATCAATTTCCGAGCTCAATTAGAAAATCGTGTTGTTTTTTTTATGGGTTTGCTTTTTGGGTTTCGCGGACGGGTGATAAGGTATGGAGGGGAAAATTAAATGGGGTTTTTAGGCGTTTTTTTGGGGAATTTTATGAGAAAGTTTTGGTATATTTTTAAATCCCTCGGGTTTATGATTATTTCGAACATTTTTCCGGTTGCATCGACATAAATTTCGTTTAGTTCAGGAGATTAAAAAATACAAGTCCAATGTTTTCCAGCTCGATGATTGAAAATAGTGAAATGCCTTTGAAATGGAAAATGAAAAATCAAGGTTTCATCGGAGAAAGTTTTGCATGGCCATGTTAATCTCAAGACATTTGAAATTAACTCAGTGAAGTCTTGACGTATCTCCACGAGTCATGAAATCAATCATCCTTTATGAAGGGGTTGAAAGTACCGCGTATGAAAGACCTCCCCGTGGATTCATTCATTACAATTTTCCACCTTGCACTCTCCAAGCGTTTACTTTCAACAATTCCCACGTGCAATATTCACCCATTCTGCATTAATCTTACTGTGAATCTTTGTTAAACACAGCTCACCAAACTGAAACGAAATATCTCTATGTTGATGCACAGTTCTCGAAAAAATAACAACTTCGAGTTTTAGAATTGTGGGATTAAACCGGCTGTGATCACACGTTTTCCGATGCATGTACGCGGAATTTCAGTTGCACACCTGACCCCAATGGTCGTCCAATCGCCTAGTAACTCAATTCATTGGAAATTCAACGGCACAAAGGGAACGAAAAAAATGTTGTAAAACTGCATTTGGCGATTCATCGAAATTTGAATGGAAAGGAATCCATTTTGTCCGCTGAGGAATTTTGTTGGCTCTCAACGCTTGCAATTCATCAAAAACCTCATATTTCCCTCACACAATTCAGTTTTCCTCTTCAGCAATCTCGCGGAATTTCTGGGATAAAAATATTTCGCCAATTTTAATCATTTATTCCACGAGAACAAATGTCTGGCGCTGAAAACGAAGGAATTCATCTTGAAAGATAAAAACCAGACCCCTTAAATTCCCCCTAAATCTACGACATTCCCCTGGCTTGCCCTTTAAAAACCCCCAAAGTGAAGAGAGAAAAAAGATGAAAATATTATATTTATGATGAACGGTCCTGCCTTTATGGGCTCCAGGTCACTTCCAGCGATTAACGGTTCTTGTAACGGGATACGGTACAATTCGTTTTACGAGTACCAAGGCACGAAAACATAATTGCCCAGCACCCACAGACGTACAACAAAAACTTTTAGTTTTAGCATTTAATTTTCTTTATTTTTAGTTATGATGCCACAGAGGTGAAGTAGAAAATAATTGTTTCCCATTTAGCAAAACGAGGGAGGGACTTTTGTTCCTCGACCCTGAGTACGATCTACGTTATGGGGATAATCCGTTCACCTTGAGGTGGACCCCAAGTGGCTCACGAGAAATGAATAATTGTCACTCTCAAGCCCTCTGATCCTGTTCATCACAAGAAATTCGTTGGTAATTTTTCTTTTTAGGAGAGTTCTTCGTTCATTCATAAGGAGAAACACGTGTTTCATTTCACCGCGACTATGAGAGTCATTCCTCGAGTCAGTCACGAATTAATTCCTACGTATAAACGTAATTAAGCTCCAGATTGCTTCAATATGGCCGTCAAATCGAGGATAATTCCACGTTTTGATTTGCGAGACGAGTTTACTGAGAGGTTTTTGTATGCTTTTCCATTCCTTTTTTCAATGTCAAAGTCCAATCTCTGATTAGTAATCATCAATATTCGACGAGATCCTCTCTGAAATGTTCGACTCCCGTAATCACAGTCACGTGATAACATTCGACATGCCTAAAAAAAGAACTTTCAACCCGAAAAAAAAACATTCTCCAATATCTCCGGAACTATGCGAGTGTAAAAGTTTAGATTACGGTCTCTGGGATGGAAAATTTCCCTGGATACTTCAGAAACAAAATTCTCGGCTTCTCCTTTCCTCCTCCGTACCACAATTTCCGGGTAAAAAATGACTACCACATGTTTCCCCCATCTCTAAACAATCACTCATTCACACGACTAAAAGACAATAATATCGTAGAGTCACTTACCTTGAGTCGAATTTCGTTCCATCCAGGAGTGTTCCAGTGTAGTGCATGGTCACCTGATCACCCTTCTTAGTTTTATTTTCGCATATTTCGGGCACATATTCTTTCTCAACTTTGAGTTCTTTGGCATTACCAGACACTGAAACTACAGTCAGAGCAAGTAAAGCCCAGATAGCACCACGAGTATACGCCGAATGCATTTTAAATATCTCCTTCCGTCACTCTATATCAAAAACTTGAAAATACAATTGAATGTATTATCATGAAATTGTCAACTATTTCCCTGAATGTCAGTGTTCTCCAACGTCGAAAAAAAAATGTTCACGTTGGAAACGGTGACGTCGGCGAGCGCCTACGAGCAACTGGCGCTTGGAGAGTACGTCTCGTCGGTAGTGACGTTCACACTGTATAGTTTTTCGTTGTAAGAGCGGTGGTAGTATTGCGCGCGCTCGAACATAACTCCTTCCCCCCTATCCTACGTGGAAGGCAGGATTGAGTGTGAGGTATAGAAACGTCCCGCCACGCCACATTGCGCCGTCTCATTGGCCTCTTGAAAATATGTAGGTCTCTGACACTCGCTTCCCACTTTCCTGGCGGTACTCTGACCCCGTTCACTCTATCAAGGATTTTCCGTTTTTTTTTCGGTGTTATCCTGTCGTTTTATTTTATTTCAAAATTATTTAATTTCATCCTGAGGACAATTTTAATTCAGTACCCAAGTGGTAAGACGGTACAAGTCAATTTTGACTATTGACCAGTTTTCAATAAATATCTCGTAATCTAAGGGAGATAGCAAAATTTTTATTATAACCTTTTTTGTAGAGCCGATTGAGAGCTACAACAAATGTAATGACGAAAATTTCCCTAGCTCCCTTCGTTCCAGAAATATTCCTCAAAAACTCAACTGGGAGATAAGTCGACTTAAAACGGTTTACCACTTCGCTACTGAATTTCATATCAATGAATTTCAAAATTGAAAGTTAATAAAAGGAAAACCAATTACAATTGAAAGAAAAATACTTTAACCCGAGTTATCCTGTTGTTGTTTTTTTTTTATTTCGAAATGAAAATAATAATGAAAAAGAAATTATCGACATGAAACTTTATCCTCAGGATTGACGATTTCCAATTCAAAGAGACGAGAGGAATTGTCAGTTTTAGAATTAGAATTCAACGAAAAGTTTTGTTATCGCGATGGAATTTTCTCATCCATAGTGATGTCACAGATTCTGTAGTCAGCCAACCGTTCAACTCACGCCACGACAGATTGTATGGCGGTATTCCTACGCGTATGTCACGCGGTACGCTTTCTCGTATCCGTCCACAATGATTGGGCCACGTTTGCATCTCGCTTATACCCCCACATGCCAAGCGTTTTGTCAACGTATATACATACNGGGGGGGGGGGGGGGGGGGGGGGGGGGGGGGGGGGGGGGGGGGGGGGGGGGGGGGGAATACACGGTCGCTTAACACATTGTAAGTATTCTTGATTAATATTTCTGTGAGAGTGATAAAGAAACAATTCCCGGCAGTTCATGTTAATCAAAATAATAGGCTTCATTGCAGGATGACAACGAGAATGATAGAGCGAGCGTTGAGGTGAGTTCATCATTTAATTTTTAAAGAATATTTTTTTATGAGACGAATTCGCGATATTCAAGACGTATCATGTTCGGTACACTTTAGGTCAAAAAAATTCAGGCGCTGGCATTTGTCAGCAGAAGTTGGCCTGACGCAAGCAATGTTGAAAATTTTTACGACATTAAAATTGTACTGGAATTTCACGGAATTTCGTAATTGAAAATGCAAAATTTTATGGGAAAATCAGTGGAAACTGTAGATTTCAACACTCGGATTTTTGTTTTCTATTTTTTGTCACACGAAGAATTCAACCGAAATGCATGTACCAAGCACTTTACCCGTGCCACCACAACACAGACCAGAGGAAGGAAATGAAAATGTCTCAGTTACAAGCGAAACTGTGATATACCTTTATACACAACTGGAAACTTTAGCCAAAGGAGAGCAGGGGATACACACGAGATGAAGTTGCATGTGGTTTTTCGTGAAAAGGCCAAAAAGCAAGTTTATGAGGAAAAGTTCGGGTCTTTGGTGGATGTCACGATGACAAGGAGAATAGAACCGAGTCCACAGAGAATCTCCACGAATGGAGGGGTCTTTGATTTGTAAATGGCAACTGCAACAGGTACCGGAAGTCTGCAGAGTTCGATTAAGATTTTATCAGCGATTCAGTAAAATATTTCAAGCAATTCTCGCCATTTTCCTCAGCACTTTCACTCAATTGCCATTACTCAGTGGAGGGATGCGTGAGCATGTGACATGGGAATACCAATTTACAGCTGACGTGACCATGCATCAACCGACTCACCTTGTACATACACAAACGTTGTACAACTGGCACTAGACTTTCCAAGTGCAATAAGACCCTTGCGTACATTTTGAAATAACGTAACTTGGAGGGGAGCGCTCATCCAACGTGATATAAAGGGTGGAGGAAGCTCGAGAAGAGGAAACAAGTTGAAATAAAAAATACAAGAGCTTTCTCTCTGATTGCCTCAACGACCTTGGAAAAAAAGGAAAATCCAAGTATTTCTCCCTTCCTCAATTGTGTTATCTTGATAAGTACTTGTTGAGGGCTTTTTTTCCTTGAAAAAATGTCAAGTTTCACGCAAATGTAACTAGATGATGCACTTATACGTTTATTCATGACGAAATAAAGATGCTCTTCTCGCAGGAAAAGTTTAATCTGAAATTATTGAACCTTCAGGTTACATAAACCAATGTAACATAAACTCACTCACTTCGTGCATAACCCTTGGAGAAGATGGCTCAAAGCAAAGAGAGAGCGGGTGTCAAAATGTTGACAGTAAAGCGTGAATTGAGTTAGAAACAACAACAATGTTTAAAGTAAGGTATTTGCTATGGTGTGAAAGATAGCTGGGAGGGTACCTCTTGTACCAAAATGCGAGGAAATTTGAACAGGGGTAATTAAGCTTCAGGGAGAAATGAAGGGTTAGGGGTGGTGTACGATGCTACCATCCAGTGTAAATTCAACGTTTATAGCCACCACTGTACGGCTTTAAACACTGAAAATTCTTGTCACGTACACATCCCTCTGCATGTATCCCTGTGTGAGCCCAGCTCTGGGCGCGATTTCCGAGCCGTTGCACGCCTCGTTCCTTACTTTCCCGCCGTGTCGCACCTCTATATCGTTTCCCCTACCTCTGACAACGAATCGTAGAATACAAATTTCGATATTTCGGTGAAACATGAAAAGAAAATTCTTTCTGTACCTCGGAGGGGAGTAATAAGAGTCATATTACCTCTTGTGCTTTATTGGATTTTCCGGAAGCTGGAGATTTTATTTTCATTTATTTAAAATTCAGTAGCGAAGTGGTAAAACGGTTTTAGTCGACTTATCTCCTAGTTGAGTTTTTGAGGAATATTTCCAAATTTAAGGGAGATAGGAAAATTTTCGTAATTACATTTGTTGTAGCTTTCAATCGGCTCTACAAAAAAGGTTATAACAAAAATTTTACTATCTCCCTTACATTCCGAGATATTAATTCAGTAGCGAAGTGATAAAGCGGTTTAAGTCAATTTTGACTATTGGCCAGTTTTCACTGAATATCTCAGAATCTAAGAGAGATAGCAAAATTTTTGTTATAACCTTTCTGGTAGAGCCGAGTGAAACCTACAACAAATGTAATTACGAAAATTTCGCTATCTCCCTTAGATTCGGAAATATTTCTCGAAAACTCAACTGGGAGATAAGTCGACTTAAACCGTTTTACCACTTCGCTACTGAATTGAAAACTGGTCAATAGCCAGATTGACTTATACCATTTTACCACTGCACTGCTGAATTGATTCGGTAGAATCGATGGAACTGACTCCGATTATTATATTGATTATAGATGCGTATGGAACGTTGAAACAAGACATAATTTTTGACACTAATTTTTCTAGCGAATAACGAGAGTCAAGATCCAAGATCAAGACCTCACTTTCACCATCTCTCGTATATTTTCACATGGTATGAAAACCCGGTTGACAGAACATGTCGCTGGAAAAAAAGGCATATATAATATTCATAGCATTGATGCCGAAGGTAGCACACAGAGAATGCGAAAAGCGATTAATGAAAAGCCTCGCGGGCTCGTTATCTCGACTTAATTACTACGCTAGCCGGATTTGGATTTCCTTCACAGACTCCTCGGCCCGGTCTTCTTATCCACCCCACTCCGGTGAATTTATTATTCCGTTAATTTCCAACTCCTGAATGGAGAACGGAAGACGTGTACTTAAGGGTAAAAATTTCTTCAACAAAATTTTCTCAAGATACGTTGAGACATAAAAAACTCACAATTAAAATGATTCTCAAAAGAATAATATTGTGCCTTTTGTTCATGTTCTCTCATTAAAAGTCCAATTGCACTGTCTAACCTCAACTGCAACACCTAATTCACAATTTCACTGTTTAATATACTATTTTCCTCTCGATGAGTAATTAGAGCCATTCCAATCATCTGAGACGATTGCAACAAACTTTCCGGTGGGAAAACTTACTTTTTCAATACCTTTCACGATAATATCTCGCGAAATAATGGCGCAAAATGTCTGTTTGTAGTATTTGGCATCGAAAAGTTTTCCCCAACTCTAATAATACAAATTTTCTTCGATTATGGCATAGAGTTACCGGAAAAAAACTCCATGAATTTTTCATTCAATTTCCATTTCCTGTTTTGCCCTGCATGCGGGCTAAATTAATTTCCTTCCAATTTAATCAATCACAATTATTGATGAAGCATCAGAATTTATCGTGACACAAACAAAAGTTGTGATAAATATTTGCCAGACAGATTCACCTGGCGGTAGAAAGTTGTGGCTGATGAGGTCAACTTTCTCCAACGCTGAAGCGTCGAATTAAAAGGAAAATTGTGCCCCTGTACCAACACGGAAATAACCACGGGAATAACTCCACTCCGACTAATTGCAATGTTGATGTTAGTTTGAGTGATCCCACCAGCAAACAATATGGAAAAAATATTAGTTACACCGAGAAATGAAAACTTCAGGCAACTCCAAAAAGCTATGAAAAAATATGCTGCATAGTAACGAGAAAACGAGCGGAATAAGCGAATACGTGGATCGTAAAGCCGAATTTACGATGCATTGGGGGAGAAGAGAAAGAGAAGCTAAAACTGCAAACCAGTCGTGTACTTATCACACACGATAGCACGGGTACACCTGGGGTACTATCTGGCGATGAGCATAGTGGTCGAACTAAAACGTATAATGTGCTGTGCGAAAGTTAAATGAAGAAAAAAAAGACGCGCAAAAAACCGATGGCAATATTCTGGTGAAAATAAAATGAGAGATGGAGTTATTGACTTGGAAAA